ATATATATATTCTCTCGAATCCCCACGACTGGTACTCCAGAGAGATGATGGTCCTATTCTCTCGATGGATGCAGGTCTGATTGCAACGGCGACACTCTCCAACGCCATTGGCAAATATACAAATAATCCTCCTGGAGCACGACAGGAGAGATTGCATCAAGCATGGCTCGAGCCCCCGAATAAGAAGGGAGGGTGTGCGTCACGGCGAGGCCCGACCACGAACCAGTCGTGAAAACTCGTAATTCTTTTGTGAAAAAATACCACCTCAGCCAGGAATCGAATCTGGATCTCCTGCTTACCAGGCAGGCAGGCCAAAGAACGTGTGCAAAAAGCAAACATTGAATCTGAATTAGCAATAAGAAGATCCAAAATGGATTGGATTAGCTGCAATTTTCTTGAGTTTTCATGGATGCGCTAGTACAAGAGATCTAAAGACTGCTTAAAATATAAAGATTATATATCTAAAAATATATTAAATAAAAATATATTAAGATATATTTTTATTATATATATATATTATATATATTATATATATTCAAAAAAATTGAAGATCTTAGATTATATAAACAATATAAATATAAACATATTAATATATAATAATATAAAAGATATATAGATAAATATAAGAGATATATAGATAAATTATATATATTATATATATAATATATAATATTATTGTAATACTATTGTGATACCATTGTAATATTGTTTATAATACTATAAAAGTGCAATGTTATATGTGCAATTATATGTAAAGAAAAATTTATATATCAATTATATATGTTAAAAAAATTGGAATAAAAAAATATTTTTATATGTAAAAATAAGATGTTAATAATATATATATATATATATATATATATATTGATATATATATATATATATATATATACTATATTAATAAAACTAAATTAACGTTACGTTTTACGTTACGTTAACTTTACTTAAAGTTAAAAAGTAGGTACGTTAATTTTAACTTAAGTAAGTATGTAGAAGTACGTTAGTTTGGTTGCTACTATATATATATATATATATATATATATATATATATATATATGTTATATTTATTTTATCTCTCTAATTTATGTTACCAAATTTGATAAAAATGTTTCTTGTATCTTCTTTCCCTCATATCGTATTTCTGCTAATTTAAAAAATAACTTATAATTTATCTGAACGTTGGAAAATTTGTCTAATCCAGTTTAATAGAATTGAAAGAAAAAAAATTTGCGATCACACATAAATTTTTTCCGGGAAAATTAAATTTATCGAAAAATAATCGATCTTGCGGCTCGTGAGATCGTCGTTCGAGTAGAAACAGGCGCCAAGAAATTAGCTCCACTTTGCCAGCGAAGATCATCAGCATTCGTGGCGAGCTTTTTACCAAAACTTATCCGCTTTGAGAAGTTTCTCTGTTTCTCCGGTAACGGCTGCGCTCTAGCACACACTGGCTCCGCAAACCGGCCTTTCCTTCGTTAAGGCTCACCACGAGCGTGCCTCCTCGAGGCTCCGCCATCGTTCGCCGCGAATCGTAAACGTAATTTAACTTGCGTCGCGCCTCGAAAACCCCGAGGAGGCAGAGAGAGAAGGAGGCGGGCGAGCGAAAGGGACGGGAGAAGAGCGAGATAGAGAGCTTCTCTCTGGTCGCATCTCGCGGGAACTTTGCCTCGAACCTGAATACTATCGGGTAAGATACCTACGCAACTACCTGTTGTGCATAATTTACGTGCCTCGTCGTCCGGCGGGCGACTTAACGACGCGACTCCATGTTAAACTTTGCCGAAATCAGCTTACTCACTTCTCGCGCGACGAGAGTCGATTGTCACCGCGGATCCTGATCGACCTTCCTTTCCGCTTCTCATCCCGCGTTTAACCGCCTCGATCGCGAACAATCGACCAATTTCAAATTATGTCAGCGTTGGATCCGAGTATCACACTTGAATGCGCTCGCATCAATATTTTTCGCCCGATTACACAATTTGCCAAAAGTCTCGCCTGGTAACTCGCGATCGATTCGGACACATGCTTCATGTATTATTTATGAAAGAGCTCGCTGTTTCGAAATATTTAACGCCCTCCGTAATTTCTGACACTTAAAATATAATGTCTAAAGTATTGATATATATAGTACCTTTATTTGAATTATTTTACTGTCTTTTCTATTAAATATAATAGATATTAAGCGAGAAATACGATAGTTTAGCTAGGAAAAATTCGTAATAGCCTGGACAATGTTTACTTAACAAGTCCA